ATGGTAATGATGGTGATGATGATGTTGATAATGGTAATAATGATGTGCCAGACTTGCAAAACCTTGAAAATATTGCTGGAGAGTATAAGAGTAGACTTGACCAGCTAGGTGCAATAACACATGCCTGTCATCCCATCACTTAGGAGGTGGAGGCAGGAGGACAACAAGTTCTAGGACAGCCTGGACTGTATAATGAGACCCTGTATCAAAAGCATTTCAATGGGACTAGAGAGACGGCTCAGTGGTTAAGAACACTGACTGCTCTTGCAGAGACCTGGGTTCAGTTCCCAGCACTAACACAGCTACTGCCCCTAACTCCAGTTCCAGGGGATCTGATGCCCTCTTCTGGCCTCAGTGAGCATTGCATGACACAGGTGCATTTACGTGCATGCAAAAATACTCATACATGTAAAATAAAATTTTTTTAAATTAAAAAATTCAGTGCTATAAACATATTAATTCTCCCTAGTTAATTATAAATTAAACATGACCCAAATAAAATGCATACTTTTTTGGTAATAGCTACATTAATTTTAAAGTTTTTTTTTTTTAATTTTTGGTCTTTTTGAGACAGGGTCTCCTTGTAGCCCCAGCTGTCCTGGAACTCACTATGTAGACCAGGCAGGCCTTGAACTCACAAAGATCCACCTGCCTCTGCTTCCCAAGTGCTGGGATTAAAGGCGTGCGCCACCACACCCGACAATTTTAAAGTTTTTAAAAATTATTTTTATTTTATGTGTATGAGTGTATTACCTGCATGTATGTAAGTGCACTCATGTCATGCAGTGTCTGTGGAGGTCAGAAGAGGGTATCAGAGCCCCTGGAACTGGAGTTATGAACAGTTGTTAGCCGCCATGTGGGTGCTGGGAATCGAACCTGGGTCCTCTGCAAGAGCAGCCAGTGCTCTTAACCACTGAGCCATTTCCCCAGCCCCTTAAAGTTAATATGAAAAAAAGAACAAGTAAGAAAAGATGGATATTCCTGGAAAAGAACACAAAGAAGGATTAGTGTGTTGGTTTGTTTGTGTTCTGTTTTTGAGACAGGATCTCTCTAGCCCCAGCTGGTCTGGAACTCACTATTGTAGACCAAGGCAGCCTCCATTTCACAGTGGCCTGCCTGCCTGCCTCTGCCTGCCGAGTGCTGGGATTAAAGGCATGCACCACCACATCTGGCTGGGATTAGATATTAAATCTTTAGTAATAAATATTAAAATATGTTCTTGGGCACCCTCCCAAGTGTGCAGCACACCCAGCTACAGACCCCTTCTTCACAAGTGTAACTCTAGGCAGTGCCGAGGATGCGGTTAAGGCCTGGCTCAGAAACTCGGCAGTCCGCTGCTTCCTGGTCACAGTGTGCTTCAGGCTTACCTTGCACTGAGTCTGTTCGCAGCTCTGGAATCGGCCTCATTCTCCTCAGTGGGGAATGATACTATAGATGGGGACCAGCAGTGGTGTTCTCCTTGATACTGGACTGTATTTTCATCTTGACCCTGTCATCAGATGGAGATAGGAACTATATACACACATGCACATAAACATACATGTGAAACGTACACATACAGAGGTAGAAAACACACATGTACATATATGTATGCATGCATATCTGTGCTGGATAGCTTTAGTGTCAATTTGACACACCTGGGTTGAGGGAGCCTCAGTTGGGGAATTGCCTTCATTGGACTGGCCTGTAGCCATGTCCCTAGGGCACCTGCTTGATGAGTGATGTAGGAGGGCCCAGCCCACTGTGGGTGGTGCCACCCCTGGGCAGGTGGGCCTGTGTTGCATAAGAAAGCAGGCTGAGCAGGGGTCAGGGGAGCAAACCAGTAAGCAGTGATCCTCCATTGCCTGTGCTCTAGCTCCTGCCTCCAGGCTCCTGCCCTGAGTTCCTACCTTGGGCTCCCTGATGAACTGTGACCCGGGAGATGTAAGATAAATAAACCCTTTCCTCCCCAAGTTGGTATTGGTCAGAGTGTTTTGTCATAACAATGGAGAGACAAACCAGGACAATATCCATGTGAAACACACATACACATACAGAGGTAAGAAATACATATACATGTACACATATGTATGCATGCATATCCATGTGAAACACACACATACAGAGATAGGAAATATATACACATGTGTACATGTATACATAGGCATATACATGTGAAACACACATACCCATACATGTTTCCTGTACATACTTTAGAAACCCAGGGTTCACATAGAGTGCGAATTCCCATCCATGCCCCCTAGAATTCTTCCCTGTCTTCCATCATTCCATATTTGTGTACTCGTCTGTCTAAGTGAGAACCCCGATCCAGTTTCACCATGTGCCTGTTTTACACAGCTCTGTAGTGCACTTGAAGTGAGCCAGAATAATTTCACTGATGAATTTTCTAGTTTGCTTTGAATTCAAATAATGGTGTTTCTTTAACATTTAATCCTGATTGAAATGAATTTATTGAAATGGGATTTTTATTGTTTTACAAAGGAGTCATTGGAGTTGCACATATGAGGAATTACAAGCATGAGTTATTGGACTATTACGCCCACAGTTTGGTGACGCTGTCAGTCTTGGTGAGAGAAGTGCCTTTCTGCAGTGGGCAGTTGTCAGTGCAGAGGCATGTCGCTGGTCAGGGCTGAGAGCAAGTCCTTTTGAGTGCTCGGCTCCAATTGGACCACTCTAACACCTCTACTAAGACTCAGGGAGGAGCAGGGAGGAGAGAGCAAGAAGAATTTAAGAGTAGAGGGCAGGGGCTGTGTGTGAAATGCTGTCTTCTGTTGCAGTCATGAACCCACAGCAACTGACATTACCTGCACCAGATCAAAGCTCTTGACATTCTAGCATGGAAAGGAGAGGGCCTCACCGCCCTCGCCCCATCAGAGGAGCTGTTCGCAGTCGATGGCTGCTGGGAAGTCAGTTTTCTTCAGGGCAGTGGCTGCTGGTAGGCCGCCCATGCTCTGGTGATGGCCCTACACCTATGCATGTGCAGGCAGCACTAATTGGACTGAGTTATTAAAAATAACAAAAAGAAGATATGAGGGGCTGGAGAGATGGCTCAGTGGTTAAGAGCACTGGCTGCTCTTGCAGAGGACCCAGGTTTGGTTACCAGCATCCACATGGCAACTAACACATGTCTGTACCTCCAGTTCCATGGGTTCTGATGCTATCTTCTGGCTTCCATGGGCATTACATGCACGTGTATATTTACATTCAGGCAAAAGACTGATACACATAAATTTTTTAAAAATTTATTTAATAACCACATAATTAGTGGAAGCATTTTCATTACAACAGCATTGACATAGTCAATAAGTTTCCAAAGCAAAGATGCATCTCTTTCAAAATTGGCTATAAATTTTTAGGTTCACAGTGTTGAATTAATACAGTTATACATGATACACATAAAAATTTTAAGAAAATAATAAGTAAACTTTTTTTGGTTTGTTGAAGTCACATGTCCCTGTATCCCCAGGTGGCCTAGAACTTGTTATATAAATCAGGCTGGCTTCCGTCTCACAGAGATCTGCCTGCCTCTGCCTCCTGAGTGCTGGAATTAAAGGCACGTGCCGCCATGCCTGGTTAAATTATTTATTTTTATTTTATGTGTATGAGTGTTTCACCTGAATGTCTGTAAGTGCACTTGTGTCATGTGGTACCTGCAGAGGCCAGAGGAAGATGTTAAATTCTCTGGAACTGGTGTTTTAGGAGATTATTAACCACCATGTGGGTGCTAGGGTCCTCTACAAGAGCAGCCAGTGCTCTTAATTGCTAAACCATCTCTTCTTCCTCCCAAATATTTTAAAAATATTTTATTATTTTTATCTCATGTGTATGAGTGTATTACCTGCATGTATGCAAATACATCCATGTTTTTCAATACCCTCAGAGGTCAGATCCCCTGGAATTGGAGTTACAGATGTTGTTAACTGCCATATGGGTGCTGGGAACCAAACCTGGGTCCTCTGCAAAGCAGCCAGTGCTCTTAACTGTCAAACCATCTTTCCAATCACCCCAAAATATTTTTTTAATAAAGGAATTCTACCTATACTTTGATGAGGGCTCTATATTAGAATTTAATAATTATTAGTAGAGTATCTGGTTGGACGTGCTGGTGCACACCTGTGACCTACTTGCAGTCTTGGCATTTGGGAAATGGGAGCAGGAGGATCAGGAATTTGGGGGCCTCCTCAGTTACATAGTGAATTTAAGGCCAGCCTGGGCTATATGAGAACCTATCTCAGCCCCCCCAAACCCCACTCCATCCCTGCCAAAGAATATTTTATAGCGTCACAATAATTAGAAAGGAGTTTGTGCTTACTTATGCTGATAATTAACTGGTATTTCTAGGTAAACATTAAAATATGCGTATAAGATTTGGGGAGATAGCTCAGTTGGCAAAGTGTTTGCTGTGTTAGGATGAGGAACTCAGTTTGGTCTCCAGCACCCATGTAAGAAGCCTGGCATGGTGGCATGCATTTGTTAATCCCAGCACTGGGGAGGCAGAGACAAGTGGATCCCTGGGATTTGTTGGCCAGTCAGCCCAGCCTAATTAGAGAACCCCAGGTCCCAGTAGGAGACCTTGTCTCAAAAAACAAGGTGGACAGGTCCTGAGGAACGACAACCCAGATTCATCTGTGGCCTTCACATACATGCACACCTGTGCACTCATACACATAAGCACATGCACACACACATATTCTATTCTGGAGTAAAGGATATTACCTCTGCCTAGAGAAACAATACATGTAATATTCTAAAAGGAAATATGAACCTTTATTCTAAAACTTGCAATTTTCCTACAAAATGCTGTAGGAATAAATGTGATTTTTTCCCCCTGTATAACATTTATGTAGCAATGCTTTGACAAGCCTTTATTCTAAAACTCGCAATTTTCTTACACAATGCTGTAGGAATAAACATGATTGTTTTTTCCAATATGGCATTTACATAGTGATGCTTCGAGCTTCTGATAACTGGTCACTTACAGTTTTCTGGTTCCGTTTCAGATGTGGGCCTGAACCACCAAGCGCTTCTGAAACAATTTGATCACCTGAACCACCAGAATCCTGACACATTTGAATCCACAGATTTAGATATGCTAATCAAAGCGGTGAGAACAATCCCGGGAGTATTATCTTTCTGGATTTTTTTTTTTTTTTGAGATTTTGTAATTTGATAAGCTCAGTGAGGTGGGGATGGAGCTTCTGTGTCTTCTGAGGGAGGACAATAGTAATTTGACCATAAATCCGTTCCAAAGTCCCCAAAGCTGTAAAACCTGAAAGCTGACCTGGACTGGCCAATCACAGTGATGCTGCTTACAGCTTTCTTTACCCAGCTTGATGTATTTAGAGACTCTGTGAAGAAGTGCTCCCTATGAAAGTTCTGAGGGAGAATCATTTCCTCCGTCAGCTTGTTGTGGTTCCTGGTATTCTGAGCTGTGGGGATGCAGGACTTGGACAGAATCCTAATCCCCCGTGAGTCTCTGTGCCTGAAAATTTGAAAAATTCCTTTTTAAGGGCTTGCAGAGGCCTGAAGAGGGCATTGGATCCCCTGGTACTGGATTTAAGGATGGTTGTGAGCCTTTATGTGGGTGCTGGGAACTGAACCCAGGCTGTCTGCAAGGGTGGCAAGAGCTCTTAGCCCCTGAGCCAGCTCTTCAGCCCCTGGACAATTCCTTTTTAGAATGTATTACTATTAAACTTTAATGTGTGATGCTGGGGATCAAACCCAGAATTTCAGACATGTTAGGTAAGTGTTCTACCACAAAGCTATTCTTCCAGCCCTAAAATCTGGAAAATTTTGAAACATATTTGGACTTGTAGATTGATTGATTGATTGATATTCATTTTATTTATTTATTTATTTATTTATTTATTTATTTATTTATTTATTTATTTATTGTCTCTGTAGGCCAGGCTGGCCTCAAACTCTTAACAATCTACCCACTTCAGTCTCTTCAAATGCTGGCATTACAGGCAGGACCCACCACACTAGGCTGGCCACAGGGATTTTAGATGAGAGTTTGTATATTAGGTATGGGAGGAATTACCAAACAAGATGTTTAGCCTGGCGGTTATGAGATTTAGTGCAGTGGTTGTCAGCCAGCCTTATTTTGTACAGAGTCCGGAGTTGACTCAGTCTCTTCTTTTTGAAATCAATTCATACTTTACTTGCTTGTGGAAATGTTCTAACATTGAAGCCAGCTTCGAATCTATGAACGCTGCTTCCTTTGCATATTTACATTCTGTTTTCTTTGAATACTTACTTCCCTGGTAATGAACGACTAAAATTAAAAGATAGAGGGGCTGGAGAGATGGCTCAGTGGTTAAGAACACTGGTTGTTCTTGCAGAAGACCTGGATTTGAAACCAGCACCCACATGGCAGCTAACAACTGTCCGTAACTCCAGTTCCAGGGGATCCAACAGCCTCTTCTGTCCTCCACAGGTGTTTCACGACACGGGTGCACTTACCTACATTCAGGCAATACACGCATACACATAAAATAAAAACAATGAATAAACTATATGAAAAGTTAAAAGGTAGAATTAAAAGTGGTAAGCCCAGGGCTTTCTTCGTGTTTGTTTTCACTCTCATACTGCTTCTGGTAGAGAGTGCACTGCGCTTAAGAGTGGTTTTATTGGGCTTCGGAGATGGCTTAGTGTGTAAAGTGCTTGTCATACAAGCATGAGGATCCCTAGAACCCAAGTATGCCCACCATGTGTGGTGACACGCCAGTGAGCCTAGGGCTTAGAAGGTGGAGACGGAACACCTGAGCAGGCTGCCTATCCAGAGGAGCCGTAGCAGTGAGCTCTGGGTTCAGTTAAGAGATCCTGCCTGAATGAATAAGGTGGAGAGTGAGCGAGGAGACTCCCGGCATCAACACATCTGCACACACATGTGCTCACACATGTGAGAATGTATACATGTGAGATAAAGAAAGAAAAGAGTGGCTTTATTTATCCCTTTCAGACACACTAATTTGAATGCATTGCTACACTCTAGGCCACAACTGATCTGGAACACTACGACAAGACCCGGCATGAAGAGTTTAAAAAATACGAGATGATGAAGGAGCACGAGAGGAGGGAATATCTGAAAACACTGAACGAGGAAAAGAGAAAGGAAGAAGAGGCCAAGTTTGCAGAAATGAAGAAGAAGCACGAAGACCACCCCAAAGTCAACCATCCCGTAAGGACTGCGGTCTGGGAAAGCCGTGTTCAGATGAAGAGCGCTCTCTGTACCAGAGGGCAGAATTTTATTCTAAGTTTTTAGTAGTTAAATCTTGAGTCTTAATTCTGAAAAGTTCCTCGAGCATATTTTTTGAGTCTATCTACATCGATTATATTTTGTTTTGAGCAATTTCTTAAAATTGGTTCACAGGGAAGCAAAGATCAACTAAAAGAGGTATGGGAAGAGACTGATGGATTGGATCCTAATGACTTTGACCCCAAGACATTTTTCAAATTACATGGTAACAGATTTGATACAAATATTGATGTTTATATCTGCTGTTTGAAAAAGTCGTATATGCTTTAATTGATTGCTGTGACGGGTTGCTGTTGAGTTCTACCAGTAGCAGTGCCTGGAGTTTCCTTCTAGGGGCATATTGCGGTAGTCTTTACAGCTGATCTCAGTATCAGATATTATAGATCAGTAGCTGTGTCTTCCTGTGTACTTTGGCTATTGAATCATCCTGTGACTTACTCCAGGCTTCTCTGTAGACTGAAGGTTAATTCTGTGGCTGGTTAGGCTATGTATCTTGCAAGCTTTATACAACGGAATTAAAATTTACTAAGCTGGATATGGTGGTGCACACCCGTAATTACAGAATTTGGGAAGCAGAGGCAGGAGGATTGCTGCAAGTTTCAGACTAGCCTGGTCTACAGAGTGAGTGCTAGGCCAGCCAGGGCTATACAGCAAGATGCCTCAAAAAATGTTTTTAATTACTACTACTCTTGTAGACATTGCTTTGTCTTTCTGCAAAGAAATAGATGACATGATTTTCTTAAAAATGATTATGAATTATAAATATAGACTTGTTGTCCCTTGGGCTAATCTGAAGCTTCATGAAAAATGTAAAACCCACCCTGCAGTGGATTGTCGCTTTATGTCAGGACTTTTTACAAACCATTGTAATAATTATATTTAATTATTTATCTCCTAAGGGATTCAAATCTTGTTTTTGCATTTGTAACTGTTAAACTATAGATGTCAATAGTGATGGATTCCTGGATGAACAAGAATTAGAAGCCCTGTTCACGAAAGAGGTACGCACGTTTATGAAGTGCTCAGCTCTCCTGTTCTGCCTCCTTTCCCCGCTCTGTTCCCTCCTCTTCTTTCATGCTGGTTTTTATGTTTTCTTTTTAGTTGGAGAAAGTATATGACCCCAGAAATGCAGAGGATGACATGATGGAAATGGAGGAGGAAAGGCTCCGGATGAGGGAGCACGTCATGAATGAGGTGTGTATGAGGTATGAGGCTGTGAGATGAGGGAGCACGTCATGGATGAGGTGTGCTGTGAGATGAGGGAGCACGTCATGGATGAGGTGTGTATGAGGTATGAAGCTGTGAGATGAGGGAGCACGTCATGGATGAGGTGTGCTGTGAGATGAGGGAGACCATCATAGATGAGGTGTGCTGTAGGATGAGGGAGCACGTCATGGATGAGGTATGCTCTAAGAAGAGGGAGACCATCGTAGATGAGGTGTGCTGTAGGATGAGGGAGCATGTCATGGATGAGGTGTGCTGTAAGGTTAAGAGTATATGTTATTTTTGTTTTTTTTTTAATCTGTTATTTTTATTTTATGTGTATGAGTGCATTGCCTGCATGCATGTAAGTACACTCATGTTGTGTGATGACCATGGAGGTCAGAAAAGGGTGTTGGATTCCCCTGGAACTGGAGTTACAGATGGTTGTTAGCTGCTATGTAGGTGTTGGGAATTGAACCCGTGTCCTCTGCAAGAGCAGCCAGTGCCCTTAATGGCTAAGCCATCTCTATAGCCACATTATTTCTGTTCTTTGTCCAAGTTCTTTATCCAGTAAATCTAATCATAAGATGGAAGAATTAATATACACAGTAGGCATTTAACTAGATTTTATATTTGTGAATAGAACATTATAGTAGATTCCTTTAGTATAAATAATTTGTAACTACTTTAAAACATTTTAAAAGATTGAAATACCACGTCATGGATGAGGTATGCTCTAAGAAGAGGGAGACCATTGTAGATGAGGTGTGCTGTAGGATGAGGGAGCATGTCATGGATGAGGTGTGCTGTAAGGTTAAGAGTATATGTTATTTTTGTTCTTTTTTTAATCTGTTATTTTTATTTTATGTGTATGAGTGCATTGCCTGCATGCATGTAAGTACACTCATGTTGTGTGATGACCATGGAGGTCAGAAAAGGGTGTTGGATTCCCCTGGAACTGGAGTTACAGATGGTTGTTAGCTGCTATGTAGGTGTTGGGAATTGAACCCGTGTCCTCTGCAAGAGCAGCCAGTGCCCTTAATGGCTAAGCCATCTCTATAGCCACATTATTTCTGTTCTTTGTCCAAGTTCTTTATCCAGTAAATCTAATCATAAGATGGAAGAATTAATATACACAGTAGGCATTTAACTAGATTTTATATTTGTGAATAGAACATTATAGTAGATTCCTTTAGTATAAATAATTTGTAACTACTTTAAAACATTTTAAAAGATTGAAATACCACTGCACTTCAGCAGTAATTCTTGTTCTTGTTGTCTGTTTGCGTGTTTGTTTTGAAACAGGGTCTCCTTGTAGCCCCAGCTGGCCTGGAACTTGCTATGTGGATCTGGCAGGCCTTGATCTCACAGAGATCTGCCTGCCTCTGCCTCCCGAGTGCTGGGATTAAAGGCATGTGATGTCATGTTCAGCTGATAAATATTTTCGGGCTGAAAATAAATTTAATCTTTAGCACTTTGAAAACCTACATTAGCTTTTATGGTCTGAACAGCCCTGATCTGAAAGCCAAAATCCAAAATCTTTTTGATTACTTTTTGGTTACTGACAAGATGTCACAATAGGAAATTCTATACTATGAATTTGTCCCATGCACCAAATTATTTATAAAATTGTATGAACTTGCCTTTGGGCTATATGTCTAAGTCATCTATGTGAAACAAGTGAATTTTGTGTTTAGAATTATGTACAAATATCTCAAAATTTAACAAACACCCAAATCCACTTCCAGTCCCACACATTTTTGATAAGGGATACACTCAGTCTGCGCTAAGAAGCCCCCACGTTCTGTTACCTTAATGGCTCTGACGACAAATCTTTGTCTTGTTTATTTTACATAAGCTTCGTGGTTTCTGCCAGGTAGGGCAGGCTCGGCCACACTTGGCCCTTCCATGTCCTTCATCCCTGGCTGCAGGAATATTCTCTGACTGGATGATATAAGGAACCTAAGAAATCTCAGACCCATCCATAAAATAATGAGCATGACTCATATCTAGTCCTGGCAAGTTTATACCTCACTGACTGAAGATGTACGGGTGGAGCCACAGTCAGTGAGGTGGGGAGGGGTAGCTCCCACGGGCTGTCTCAGCAAGATGTGCTGTGTGGCAGTCAGGCCTGTGGACTTTTGTTACAGGAGGGAGCGGTAGTTGGAATAATAACACAAACCATCACAGAGTCCAAAACTTTTAATTTCTGTCCATTGAAAGCAACTGACCATTTTTCTTTGCAATTTTACTTGTTCAATGAATTTTTCGTTCTCTTCTGACTTAAGTCTCCAGAAGAACCATGACACATCTTCCATGTTAAGTGAATAGAATGATTACCTAAGAATAGTAATGGTCCTACCTGTGTAACCTGCCTGCCGTAACCTCCCTTACGGGAGTAGCGGAATGTGGCTAAAAATTAATTAGCATGCTAATCGGCCTCACCAAATTCAGGCTAGCCCAGGTGGTGAGCTGGCCCTCTGCCTGGCAATTTGTTCATTTCCCTATGCCCTGCCTCCTAGTCTCATATATTCCCAGCTCCCCTTAAGTCTTCAAGACACTCCTCTTCCTCTTCTTCTACCTTTGCTTCTCATTTAACTGCAAAAATGGAGGTAGTCAAGATAACTGCTTCGTCTCCCTCACGAGCCTTCTGGCCTCGGAGCACATTCCTCTTGCCTTGCGTCTGTCAACAGTGGACGCTGCGGCTGCTCCCGTGGAAGACCCTCTCCTCCACATGTGCGTGGGGTCCTGGTCTCTCTCCTCTTCAAGGACTTTCTTCCTGCTCTTACTCCCCCTTCTGTCTTGCATCAGCTTTTCTCACGGCGCCAGTCAGTCCCACTAAAGACAGACATGCTTCGTGCCTTCCATGCTAAACCCACTGCTGCCCTTCCAGTCTCCCCTTTGCGGCGGCTGGACAGGGCTGTCTGCCCCCTTCTTCCTGCTGGTTTCTCCATAATCTGTGCTGACTACGTAGCCTCCACCATCCCAGGGCGTGCCTGTCAGAGGCCCCCATCCTGGCCAACTCCGTGGTCTCTCCTGCTTGACTTTGAGTACCTTGACATCCTCACTTGCTCTTTCTTCTCGCTCTCCCTTACCACCCGTCTCTCCTTATGTTCAAAGTGTCACAGTGTCCTGGGCCTGTCTTGGCTGTGTTCACTTTCTGCTTTCACCCGTTGCTTAGGTGGCATATGACTCTATCTCTGTGTAAGTTAGGCTGCACTCAGAACTTTGACCACCAGGCTTGGACCTGGTTGGCCTCTTGCCCTTTGTATATTTAAAACACGTTTTCAGCATCTAGATCTGCTGCGTCAGCCTCTTTTTTTTTTTTTTTTTTTTTGAGACAGGGTCCTACTCTGTAGCCAAGAATGCCCTGGAACTCACTGTGTAGTCTGGCTTCAAAATCACTGACTCTGTTGCCTCAGTCTATCGAGTGCTAGATTATGGTTGTGAGTCACCATTCCTGGTTTCCTCTCAGCCTTTGTGTGTGTGTATGTGTATGTGTGTGTGTACTAAATGTATGTGCTTGCACATGTACGTATGGGTGCACTCACTGTGCACAGGTGGAGGCCAGAGGTCAACGTCATGTGTCTTGAGACAGGATTTCTCATTGAACCTGAAGCTTGCCATTTTGGCTGGACTAGTTGTCCAACTAAGCCCCAGGATCTGCCTGTCTCCAGTCCCAGTGCTAAAGTTATAGATATGAACTGCTCTTCCTGGTGTTTATATGGATATTGGAGATCCAAACTCAGGCCTTCATGCTTGTGTGGCAAATACCCACTGAGCCATCTCTCCAGCCCTCTGGACCCCCAAGCCTTCTTGATTTTAGAATAATGGTTGATCTTGTTTCTCAGGTTAAGTCATCTTGTCTACGAGTATCTAATCTGCAAGTCCTTTTTTATCTACCACTAAACAGATCCAGAATCTGGCCACCTCCCCACAGCCCCACTACTTCCAAATCCTAGCCAGTCTCCTCACTGTCCAGGTCCATGCCTGATACCACCACTGTCACCTTTCCACAAGGAAGACTGACTATCTCTTTTTTAAAAAAATATTTTACTATTTTTACTTTATGTGTATGAGTGTATTGCCGGCATGTATGTACATGTACCTGTGTCATGCAGTGCTCATGGAAGTCAGAAGAGGGTGTCAGATCCCCTGGAACTGGTGTTACTATGGTTGTTAGCTGCCATGTGGGAGCTGGGTACTTGAACACTTGTCCTGTGAAAGAGCAACGAGCATTTTTTTTTTTCGTCTTTTTGAGACAGGGTCTCTTTGTAGCCCCAGCTGGCCTAGAACTCACTGTGTAGACCAGACTGGCCTCGAATTTACAGAGATCTGCCTGCTTCTGCCTCCTGAGTGCTGGGACTAAAGGCATGAGCCACCACACCTGGCCCAGACTATTTCTTAAGGCAGTCTTAATGCTTTCTTACTCAGAATACTTGAGATTTTTGCCAGAGGTTTCCAAGAGATTCTGACATACTTTCATATACAGGTACCCATGTCCTGTGACTGTCTCACTGCACCTTGGGCACCGCACCTTCCTCCCTCCCTCCCTCCCTCCTTTGAGGTAGAGTTTACTGGCCCTGGCTGGCTTGGCATTCTCTGTGTTCCACTGTGTGCAGTGGTTCTCCTTCCCCATCTCCTGGGTGTTGGGATTATAGGTGTGCACTGCTACCCCTGGTCACATAGACCTTCCTAAAGAAATCTTTATTGATTTGCGAACTTTATACACTGTATTTTGGTCATACTCAGAGCCCCTCCCCTTTCTTCCTCCCCTCAGCCTCCCCCTGACTTCATGTCCTCTATTATTATTTGTCTTTTGTTTTAAAGGCCTACCACATCTAATCTGTATTTCCAAAGTGTTCTTGGGCATGGGTCTATCCCTTGGAAACTGATCAATCTACCAGATGTCACAGTAAGGAAAACTGACTTTCCCTCTCTCAGTGTCCATCAAATGCCACCAGATCCTCAGCTAGGGCTGGGGCTTCCTGCCCACCTCCCCCATCCATGCTGGGCCCTTGTCTGGTTTGGGTTTGCAAAGGTCTCGTGCATGCTATCCTAAGCGCTGTGGGTTCATATGTACAACTACCCAGTGGTGTCCAGACAACACAGTTTCCTATTATTCACCTACCACCTCTAGCTCTCACAATATTTCCTCACCTTCTTCTGCAATGAGCCTTGAGCCTTGAGAGGAGAGGGTGTGATGGGGGGGTGGTATCTCATTTAGAGCTGATCACTCTGCAGTTTCTTATTCTCTGCACATTGACCAGCTGTGGGTCTCTGTGTTAATCACCACCTGCTGCAAGAAGAACCTTCTCTGGTGAGAGCTGAGAGATGCACTAATATATGGCATAAAATAAGTCACTGTGAGTCAGTTTAATACTATGTCCATTTAGCCCAATGATAAGTTCTCCCTCTATGGCTTAAGACCTGTCTAGCCACAGGTTCTTGGCCTTGATAACAATGTCAGGTATGAACTCCATCTTGTGAAGCAGGTGAAGTGGGTTTTAATTCTATTAGAATGTGGTTGGAGCCAGGCATGGTGGCGCACACCTTTAGTTCCAGCATTCAGGAGCAGAGGCAGGCAGATCTCTGTGAGTTCAAGGCCAGCCTGGTCTACATAGTGAGTTCCAGGACAGCTGGGGCTACAAAGAGACCCTGTCTCAAAAAGACAAAAAAAAAAAAAAAAAAAAAAAAAAAAAGGAAAAGAGTGTGGCTGATTACCCCAACACCACTGTTGCACCAGTGGCACATTTTGCCAAGCCAGTTGCTCGCAGGGTTCCCGGCTGAATGAGACCGATGGTTACTTTTCTTGTCAGTAACACATGTAGCACCTTCTAGCACTATGAAAACTAGCCAGCAGAGATGTAGCTTCAAGGTCAGTACCAGCTTGATTTCTCCTTATTTGTGTTATGACTCAGGTATGTAGTGTCTCCAGCAATCGGGTCTCACCATCAAGTTCTGGTGAGTAACCAAGTGCAGTGGCAATAGCTAGTGTTGTTTGAGGATCTGTGGATCTCTCTGGTCAACAGCTCCAAAAGAGGGAGTCCATTCCTGGCATTGGGCTTTTCATTGCCAGCCTGTGGTGTCTGTCAAGGCCACTGAAGCCCTGTCATAGGGTAACTACATTTAAACTTTCGTATTGTATATGTACATATTGAAAGAAGCCTCTGTAGCAGGTTTCCATCTGACTCTTTCAGAAGGCCTTCAGTGTTGGTCGTCCCTCCCCTTCTGCCCTGCCCTCCCATCCCCACCCAATGAACCCTTCCCGTTCCATTTGTATCACTGCATTCTATCTCCCCTCACACTGGCCTTCTTGATGTTAACCTGTCCTCAGCTTTCTCCCTCTGTAGGTCATGTGACCCTCTTTCTTCTTCCTGACTACTTCTCTCTAGATCACAGGGTCTCACTTCTGCTAGGCCTGTGCTCAGACATTCATTCTTCGGATAGACCTTGAACACCCAGATTAAAACACGGGCCTTTCTCTTCAGGTCTAACATCACCCTCCCTTCAAGTTAACACCCTATAATGGTTTGTAGGATAGGTGTTTTGTTTCAGTGATTTTCACTGGAATAGTTGACCTGTCAGTGTAGAATTGGGGTCCCTGTAAACTGGAGGCTAGTCTGGGTTACCAAGCAAGACCTTATCTTGTAGACCCAAGTGGTAAATGACTATTTGACCATTAAAGTTACCCTGATAACTGATTTTTTTGCTGACTATATAGGCCATTAGAGAGGAATTAGAGAGGCTGTTAACTTCTGCTTTGATTTAGATCTTTTTTCTTAAGAAAAAAAAATGGACTGGAGAGATGGCTCAGCAGTTAAGAGCACTTGCTGGTCTTGCAGAGGACTCGAGTTCTGTTCCCAGCACCCACATGGCTGCATCACCAGTTAGATTACTCACTCAGTGTGTTGGCATGTGTGGATAGCTTGTATTTTCAAATCCGAATCATGTAGAAGAGGAAGGTATGCATTTTCTGATTCTGTATAAAGTGGGATGTTTATTCCTTTTCTCCTCCAGTTTCCTCCAGTTCCGGTCAACATTAACCTTCTCCTAATTTGCTATGTGTTAGCATAGTAGCATCTACTGGAAAACAGTCACCAGTATTGGAAACTAAGAAACGTTTATTCTGTATTGCCTTTATATTTTCCTTTAATCAGGTTGATAGCAACAAAGACCGATTGGTGACTCTGGAAGAATTTTTGAAAGCCACAGAGAAGAAAGAGTTCCTGGAGCCAGACAGCTGGGAGGTAATAGAACCGACTTCGAAGCGGGAGATGGTCCAGAAGTTCTGCATCACTGTGCTCTGCCTTTAACTTTTATTCCTCATTATGTTTGTAGGTGCAATCTACAGTCTTCATTTTTTATGTTAAACGTTACTATAAAATGATAAGCTTGTCTCCTTGGAAGACTTCTGGAAATTTATCATCTCTGTAATCACACTGTATAAAATTAGAATTTTTTTGATTTGTTTACTTTTATTTTATGTGTATGAATTGGTATGCCTGCATATATGTAAGTGCACCTGTGTCGTGCAAAGCCAGTAGAGGTCAGAAGAGGGTGTCAGATGCCCTAGAACTGGAGTTTTGAATGGTTGTTAGCCACCATGTGGGTGCTGGGATTCGAACCGGGTCTTCTGCAAGAACAGCCTTAACCGCTGAGCCATCTCTCTTAACCGCTGAGCCATATCTCCAGCCCCCCAAATTAGAAATCTTTTTAAAAATACTATTTTTATTTTATGCTTATGAGCCCTAAATTAGAAATAGTTTAAAAATTATATTTTTGCTAAGTATAAAATAACATCATTGACAATTAAAAATATAGTTACACTTAAAGAATAAATGTGAGGATCCACTGAGCCAGCTTTCCAGCTCCTTTGCTGTTGTTTGGGGCAGTGTCTCAGCTGAACTGGCCCTCTTGCCTCCCATGTGCTTCAAGTACAGGCACGTACTATCATGCTGGGCTTGTTTTTGTTTTCCAAGTCAGGGTCTCTCTTGGTAGCCCAGGCTAACCTCAAAATAATCCTCCTGCCTCAGCCACCTGAGTTCTGGAATTATAGGCATGAGCCACTAGGCCTGGTTTCCAGTTTTTTATTGTTATTAAAAAAAAAATGGGACTGGAGAGATGACTCGGCAATTAAGAGCACTTACTGCTCTTGCAGAAGACCTGGGTTCAGTTCCCAGCACCCACATGAAAGTGCACAGCTATCTGTAACTCTAGTTCCAGGGGAACTGACTTCTGCATACAACAGGCACCCATGTGTACTTAACATACATGCAGGAAAAACACTCATAGACATTAAAAATAGCCAGGCGTGGTGGCATACACCTTTAATCCCAGCACTTGGGAGGCAGAGGCAGGCAGATCTCTGTGAGTTCAAGGCCAGCCTGGTCCACACAGCGAGTTCCAGGACAACTGTGTCTCAAAAAGACCAAAATAAAAAATAAAATAAAATAAAATAAAATAAATAAATAAATAAATAAATAAATAAATAAATAAAAATTAAAGTAATTTGAGGGCTAGGAAGATGGCTCAGGGCTAAGAGTGCTTGCTATGCAAATGTGAAGACTGGTATTTAAATCCCCAGAACCCTATAGTAAGCCAGGTGTGATCACATGCTAGTGGGGGTGAGGTGACTGTCCTGAGGTGGATTTGGATCAGTCCTGAGGGTCAGAACTGTCCAATATTGCTGCTCGGGAGAGCCAGGAAAGAGATTCCACACGAGTGAGAGGTTGCAAGTACAATATATTTTGCACAACAAGCCCAAAATACATTCACAAACAACACAAACACTCAAGGGGAGAAGCAAGAACTGACCCAATGTTCAGAGCTCCTAGATCTTAGGGAGTACCTCAGGGCCAGAGCCCAACGTCCCAGTCCTTAGGTGCTCTGTGTGGAGGCTCTCAGCGTCCGCCGTGATCGTTGCCTTCTCCCGGCAGAAGTTGCTCGGCTGTAGGTCCTGATGATCACTTGCAGTTGTGGCAGGTCTCGGGTAGAGTCTCGGTGTCTCAATGTCTCGGGCAAGAACATCGGGATGCGGCCAGACAGAGTTACAGTCTGTCTTGGTCTCGGGAGTTGCCAAGCATCGGTGAACTGCCCGAGTCTCTGGCTTTTTATATGCTTTTTACTGTCAGTCTGTCATTGTCTTGATGTCAGTGAGTTCAGCTGGTGTCTTAGATATGGTGACTGCTCTTGGGTTACTTATCACACTCACACATACATTCTGTTTCACTCAGTTAAGGCTCATGCTTCCTAGTTCAGCTTATCTTGTCAACCATAGCTGTCACATAGCTCATGGTTTCAATCACTTTCGTTTCTACAGATTGGATTTCTAGTTCTATATTCTAACTTCTATGATATTTGTTATGTTTCTATTACATTCATTACATTGGGGATAGAATTGCTGTGGCTTGTTGGCTACCAGCTTATCCTCAATGAAAGACCCTGTCTTAAGAGTGTGAAGGGGAGTGTGCTAGAGCAGGACACCCACATCCTCTTCTGGCCTCTGCTCTGGTCCACATCACACATACAATCTCTATCTATCTATCTATCTATCTATCTATCTATCTATCTATCTATCTATTATCTATCAATCATCTATCTATCTATCATCTATTATCTATCATCTGTCTCGTCTATCTGTTATCTATCATCTATCATCTACATCTATATAATCTATCATCTATATCTATCTTTCATCTATATCTATCATCTATAGCTATCATCTGTCATCTGTATTTATCTATAATCTATTTATCATCTATCTACTCTATCAATCAGTTAATCAAAGAAGCTGAACCTAGTAGTACCAGCCTGTTATCTCAGGTACTCTTCAGAGGCTGAGCCTGGATAATTGCTGCAAGTTCAAGGCCTGCCTGAGCTACAGAGTGAATTTAGGGTCAGCCTGGGCAATGTAGTAAAACCTTGTCAAAATAAAAAAGTTGTTCTGTGTGTGTGTGTGTTTTTTTTTTTGAAAGGATTAGAAGAAAAGGGCAGCTGGGGTTATAGCTCAGTCATAAACCTTTACTAGCATGTGCAAGGCCCTGTGTTCAATCCCCAGTAACTCAAATAAATATAAAGAAATGCGTAACCTCAGTGTGGTCATATATGCCTATAATCTCAGTATTTGGGAGGTTTGGAAGGTGGAGGCAGGAGATCATGTTTCAAGGAATCATCTACAGATACATAGCAAGTTCAAGGGTAGCTTGGGCTACATGAGGTCATGTCTCAAAGAAAAAAAAAAACCCAAAAACAAAAAAATTAATAGTGGCTAGAGATGTCTCAGGGGTTAAGAATACTTGCCCTTCTTGCAGAGGACTGGGGCTCAGTTCCCAGTACCTACATGTTGGCTCATAGTTGCCTATAACTTCTGTAGCCTAGGGGATCCTTGAGACAGGTTCTTCCTATAGCCCCAGCTGGCCTGAACTCCCTATGTAGACCAGGGACCTTGAACTCACAGAGATCTGCCTCCCTCTGCTTCCCAAGTGCTAGGATTAAAGGCCTGTGCTACCACGCCTGGCTCTTGTTTTTTGAGATAGGGTCTCACACTGTAGCCCAGGCTAGACTGAAATACACTGTGTAGTTTTAGTTGGCCTTCTGCCTCAGCTTCCCTAGTGCTGTGACCACAGGGCCGAGCCTCTATGCCTGGCCAACATGTATTTTCTTATCTCCTCAAAAGGTGTATTAGATATTCTTTTGTACTTGGATGGTACCAGAATTCTGAAGCTGAATAAGACATTTCTGTATTTCTAAGATGACACCTTATTTTCTTTTCCTTTAGACATTGGATCAGCAACAGTTATTCACAGAGGAAGAACTGAAAGAATATGAAAACATTATTGCTTTGCAAGAAGATGAACTTAAGAAGAAGGCAGATGAGCTTCAGAAACAGAAGGAGGAGCTGCAGCTCCAGCATGACCACCTTGAAGCTCAGAAGCAGGAGTATCACCAGGTAGGAAGCGGGAAGGATGGTGGCATTGCCGGGATGTTAGGCCTCTTGAGCTGGGCACACCTGTAGTCCCAGCTCCTCATGAGACTGAGACAGAGGACTGCTTAAGCCCAGAGACCAACTTTTAAAACAGAAACCTATATCAACAAGCAAATAACAACAACAAAAAGGCCTCACAAAAAACAAAATACAAGTTGGGGGCTGGAGAGTTAGAGCATGTTCTTAGCGTGTGAGGCCCTGGGTTTGATTTCCAGTACAACTACAGTAACGAAAAAGGGTCCCAAGGGATGGAGAGATGACTCAGTGGTTAGGAGCACTGGCTGCTCTTACAGAGGACCTGGGATTAGTTCCCAGCACCCACATGGCAGCTGACAACCATCTTTAACTCCAGTTCCAGGGGATTCAATGCCCTCTTTTGACCTCAGTGGACATTTCTTGCATATGGTACACTTACATGTATGCAGGCAAAACATACACATGAAATAAAAATAAATAAAATGAAAGCAAACAAACAAGCACAAAAGCCAAAAAAGAACCTCAGATCAGCTGTTAGGTGCTTTGCTGAAAACCTGTGGGGTCTGTTTGCTGTTGTTTGTTTTATTTTTTTCTTACAGTCTCATGCAGCCAAGATTGGTCTTGAACTCCTGATCCTCCTGCCTCTACCTCCCTGGTACTTGCTGAGATTGCAGATGTGCACTGCAACACCAAGCAAAGCCTATGCTTTTGGTTTTTGTTTGATTGATTTGGTTTTTTGAGACAGGGTCTCACTATGTAGCCCTGTTTGACCTGGAACTTGCTATGTAGACCAGGCTGTCTTCAAACTCAGAGATCTGCCTGCTGGGATTAAAGGTGCACACCACTATGCCAGGCCTCTGTGTTTTTGCAGTATAAGTGAGTGGAATCGTGGAACCAGTAAAAAGACCCAGCACTGCTGAAGCAGTAAAGGAAACTAGTTCTTGGCCAGGAGCAAGGAAAACGAGAGACAAACTCAGATCAACTCTTGATCCTCAGCTGTTGGGAGATTACAGACATAGGGTAAAGGAAAAGAGTGGCGTGTGGGCTAAAGAGGAATCCTCATGTCCTTCCTGGGTGTAGGTACAGACTTTCCGGAAAGCCAGGGGCCACCGCTTTTTGCTCCTGTCACGGTTCCTTCTCATCAGCGTCATGGCATCCGTCCTGGCACTGGGGTGTGTCCTTCACCTGGCACTGGGGTGTGTCCTTCAGCTGCAGATGGGATGATAACGAGGCTGCAGGTGGTCTGGCGACACTCTGGTAGCTGTCTTGGATCCAGCTAGTTTTGCCACCCTGCCTTAGGGTACTTCTGGTCTACGGACACCCTGACTTCAAGATAGACAAGATTAGCGTGGGGTGGAAATTCATCTTGGACACCTCGACGGCACTCTGGGCACCAAATCCTCTGCATTAGTTACCTTCTTTGTTGCTGTGAAGAAATACCTGACAGAATCAACTTACAGGAAGAAGGGTTTATTTTGAATCACAGTTGGAGGGCACAGGCCATCATGGCACATGGCCATCATGGCAGGGAAGGCGTGGCGGCAGGGGTGCGAGGCAGCTGGTCACGTGGCATCCAGTCAGGAAGCAGAGGCAGATAACATTGGTGCTGTTTGCTCTCTCCTTTTCACTCAGCTCAGGACTGCAGACCATTGAATGGTGCTGCCCACATTTAGAGTGGGTCTTCTCACCTCAGTTAACCTGATCTAAAAACTCCCTTACAGACATGCCTAGAGTTTTGTCTCCTAGATATTTCTAGATCTTGTCAAGTTTATGGTCAATACTATCCATCACAGCCACATCCCTGTCTTATTTTCACTTCCGGTTGATAAGTACTGAGAGGGAAAGGCTTAGTTTGTGTGACTTTTCAAACTGAATATGAGTATCATGGAGGAGCCGGTAGAGGAGTAAAAACTTTCCCTAGGTAGGTTTCCTCTTTGCCTGCTCATAGGCCCAGCTGTTTGCACTTCCAGGCTCTGTCATTTGTAATTTTAAGGCCTCCAGCTCTTTGTTAATGAATAAGATCAGATAATTTGATAATACTTGATCAAAAGAACTGGGCAGAGCAGGAGAGCTCTTAGGGGTCCCAGACAGGGCAAAAATCCAGTTATGTTTAATAGGGCCTTTGAAACCACATTTCAGATTTCTCGATTGCAATTTGAGCTTGGAGTCAGGTTGCCTTTTCTAAAACCTATGGGCTCCTTTTATGGCTCTGTTAACATTTATGTAAAAACAGTATGATATATTGATTGTCTGTTATTGTTTCTGGGCAATATTACCTAAAGGAGGCATATGTTTAATCCTTGAGTAAGAAGAATCTTTGTGTAACACATCACAGGACAAAGCACAGAACAGAAACCCAGTCTGACAGCAAGATACCTTGTTTCTGTGTCCTGGCCGGGCCGTTGAATACCACAGGGATTTTGGTCCAACTTGTGATACAGGGCCCAGGTGCTAGGACCTGGTATGAAGACCTTTGCAGTGACTGGCTCCAAAACTGACATGTTTGAAGTCTGAGATTGGCAACACAAAGTCGGTGTATACAATGAAAATAACATCTGCTAACTAGAATATTTGTATGGCCATTTTTACCCCATGGGCAGACCTATACAGAGATCAAATGTTTTTTGGAGGGGGTGGTTGGCTTTTTGAGATAGAGTTTTTATGTAGCGTAGGCTGGCCTCAAACTTTGTATAGTGAGGATGACCTTGAACTCTTTACCTTCTTGCCTCTACTCCCAAGTGCTGGGATTACAGCTGTGTACCAGAGTCTGGCTAAGAGGTCACAACTTTATCAGAGGGATACTTGAATGCGCGTGAAAATAGCATCAGCAGTGGCTAACACAGGCCGAAGAAGGGGGGCTAGGGTTGATAAGGCTTTTTATCCCTGATGACCAACAAGCCCCTCTCACTCAAAGCCCATCTCACTTGGCACCCTTCTGCTCATCAAGTCAGATAGCAGCCATCTTTCCTCAGTTTCCAAGAACAGGATAGAGGGTGCTTTAGGGGAAAACGCTCAGTTTATTTTGCTTTGTCACAGAGCACACACGTAACAGCAGAACCAAACAAAGCCTGAACTTTGTCTTTTCCACTTACTAGGCTGTACAGCAGCTGGAGCAGAAGAAATTACAGCAAGGAGTTGCTCCGTCAGGGCCAGCAGGACTAAAGTTCCAGCCACGTATGTAACTCTGTGTCTTTGTTTGTTTAAGGAAATAAATCATTATAAATTGATAGACATATTTATCTCAAATATAACAAGATCATTAGGATTTATGTTGTATTCTATATATTTGAAGAGAGAGAGAAATTTACATGAAAGAAAAGTGAAAAGTTCTCCAAAATTTCTGTGACTGAACACTTCTCAAATACTATACAATTAAACAGCCATATTTATGGTGCAATGATACACTTAAACCTTATTCATAACTCTTTATAGTCACTTAGATTGATCTTACCAGAGACCATGTTTCTAAATTGTAATCTTTGAGGAGCTAGTCATACCTTTTGTAAAATATGTATCTGTAAATAAAAGAGCACCCAGAATAAATAATGTTTAAAATGAGAGCATATTTCTTTTAAACAGACACTTAAAGTTCCGAAGTCCGCCAGAACCTGGAAGAAAACTGTTAACTCAACATCTGTTCCATCTTTCCACAATCCTTTCATTTCTCTTCATTCAATAAATACTTAAAAGCATATTTGGAATAAAGGAAGAGACCTTTAAAATGGGAACACTTTTTTTTTGGACACCGGTATTTAAGGATTGAAATCTACCAGAGCCAGGAGGAGACCAACCCACGTCATTTCTCCCGGGGTCCTTCCTTCTCCTGTGGTGGTTCAAGGCACTGTGTCCCATAGTTTCATGACACCGTCTTTAGCAGAGCGAGGAGGCTCTCTCTGCCTGTGGCTTTGAGGTCATCTGCTGTCATACGTGGAAATAGGTATCTTTTTGGGTGCTCATCATCCCCTCTCAATAAATGTCTTTTCGATATTAAGTTATTTTGAAAAAGCCATTGCATTTGCCAGTGTTCCCTGGTAACTTTGGCCTGTCTTTAGCAAACTTACTCTCTAGGAACTCTCAAACCAAATCATCTGCCACCACTTCACAACCTTTTATTCATGTTTTTGCTCCACACTGTTAGGCTCCTCTGCATTAACAGAAAACCAAAGATAACAGTGGTTTAAACTAAGCAGGAATTCTCCTTTTCCTGGAAGAACTTGGGACGGAGGTAGAGCGAAGTTTCTGCTTTTTGCACTGCTATGGCTTTTACCTTCAAATCCCCTCCTTCTGTCTAAAATAGAGTGGGAAAAGACAGGAAAAGAACTTCCCTACCTGGTCATCTGCCTTGAGGAATTTTCTGGAAGAACCCAGTAGCACTTGCATTTACATCTCAGTTATCTAAACTAAGTCACATGGCAAAGTGACCAGCCTGAAGTTAGGGTTCTCTTACCAGGGGAAAGGGAATGTTTGGCAGACACCTTTCAGTCTTAACACAAGTCACCTTGTTGACTGCCTAAATTTCTATCTGCACTCTTCTCCTGAGATGGAAAACACTCCAACCATCTAAGGAGACACTGTCACCAATCCATCCATCACTGCACGTTAGCTCCAAGACTGTCCCCTCCGTGAGGCTGGGCTATGGCTTCTTATGTTCTGGCCACTTACAGACTAAAAGGCAAATTTTCTACTCCCAAAAAACCACATGCAGGATGCCTGGGTGTGGGAAAACTGCAGTGAGATAGACCATTTACAGGGTGGAAGACTCATGAGCTGGGAAGTAGCTCAGTGGTACAGCACTTGCCTACCCTGGGTGAAGTCTTCATCAACCCCATAACTACAAGAAAATAAAAAATAAATAAAAAAGGAAGAAGCAGAAACAGCATAGCTGATCCTTAAAGAGTAGGAGCCTCTGCTGTAACACATGAACACACGTTGGCTTGCCCATCAGGTAGTCCCCGATTGACAGTTCTGAGAGGACCTCAGTTAGCTAACTTCCCTCAGCAGCCCTGGGCTTTGCCCTTGGGAGGTGTTTATTCATAAATTTTCAGGATGTATCTGAATGGACTTTTGGGAGAACATCCCATGTGGCTACGGGACAGCCTTAGTAGAAATCCTATTATTTCACGCTTCAGGACTCAAGGCTTGCTTTAGACAACTGCTGTGGACATTGCGTGCTGGGTTTGAATTAGTTTTTGTTTTGTTTTGTTTGTTAAGTAATTCCCCCAATCTTAAAGGTATCTGTGTTTCCCCCCTCCTATTTTTAATCATTTCAATGAACAACTATGATCAAAAATATAGTTTCTGTTTTTTAAATTTTATTTTTAGAAATTCTTCTTCTGTAGCCAAGGCTGGCCTGCAACTCACTATGGAGCCTGGGCTGACCTCCATAACTTGTAGCAGCCCTCATGCGTCAGCCTTCCAAGTGTCAGGCTTGCAGGCATGAGCCTGGATGTAGCTCAGTCGGTAGAGTGCTTGCCTAGCATGTCCCAAGCCCTGGGTTTGATCCCCAGCTCTCCATAAACTGGCGCGATGACCCATACCTGTAACCCCTGCTCCTGAGAGGTAGAGGGAAGAGGATCAGAAGTCCAAGACCACCCCCAGGTGCATAGGAGAGTCCTTTCCCTCTGCCAAGCCAGTCCATCTTTCTTTTTTGGTGGTTGTGGGACTTAAACCTACATACAACCTTGTATGCCCTAAGCATGGAGGGTGTGTTGGCACATGCATATAGTCCCAGCATTAGTGAGACCAAGGCATGTGGGTTGCCATGAGTTTGAGGCCAGCCTGAGCTACATTGCAATACCTTGTCTCAAAATAAGTCAGTCAGTCAGTAAGAAATAAGCAAATAAATAAAAAACAAGCAAGCATGTGATCTACCCCTGAGCTGTAGCAGTGCCAGCCCTACCCCATGCTGAATGTCCTTTTTCTAACTGTACCTTCCTTTAGCTACTCAGTCCTTTATGGGTCAGGATTCTTGGTTGTAGGTGATGGGGTCTTCTGTTAGACAGAAGGGGATTAAGGAATACAGATAGATCAAAGAATCTTTGGGAGATTTTCAGTTTTGTTCTAGAGAAGCAGATGTAGGGCTGAGGATGTAGCTCAGTCGGTAGAGTGCTTGTCTCGAGTGCCCGAAGCCCTGGGTTTGGGCCCCAACACTGCATCAACTGGCATAATGAGCCATGTCTATAATCCCAACTCTTGAGAGGTGGACGGAAGAGGATTGGAAGTTCAAAGTCAACCTCAGGTGCATAGTGAGTTCAAGGGTAACTACATGAGAAAGTGGAGAGAGAGAGAGACAGAGAGAGAGAGAGAGAGACAGACAGAGACAGAGACAGACAGAGAGACAGAGACAGAGAGAGAGAGAGACAGAGAGAGAGAGAGACAGAGAGCTTGAGCTTCAAGGAGCTATGTCACAAGAGTAGGCCACTGAAGAGCCGAGAGCCTCTGCTTTTGGGATAAGCAACAGGCAGGAAATGGCCCGCCGGGTTAGGAAGCCCTGAGCACTCGCTGGCTCTAAAACCTCACCATCTGCCCTGTTCTGTGCCCACAAAATTGAAGCACTCACGTCCCCTTTGTCTGCCAGTGTAACGCCGTTCTGAGTCGGTCTCAGGTGAGTGTGCCTGATTGATCAGGCCGTTGTGTCTGGAGCCCTCGCTGTATGGAAGATTGGGAATGACAGTGTTTGCTTACCTCCGTGTCACAGGAACGCGTGTTCAATCACTGTACTTCACCTTCCTGGCTCTGCTATACGGACGCTTATTGAGTTACCATAATTTTGCATTGACATTTTTTTCTTTTTCTTTTCTTCTTCTTGTATGTTTTTGAGACAGGGTCTCACTATATAGCCCTGATTGACCTGGAACTCACTGTGTAGACCAGGCTGGCCTCCAGCTCACAGAGGTTTGATGGCCTCTGCCTCCTGAGACCAAATTTCTCTTAACATTAGTGATTCCTCAAAAAGTCCTAATCTATTTGTAACCATACAGAGCATGCTCCTTTTGGTGAGTGCTTATTGGCCCAACAGAAGAGAGAAGATTGGAGACAGGGCTGGTCACCTGCAGGGGAAACATGCACTGGACTTGCTCTGACAGCATTTGCCAGACTCAGGCAAAAGCCATGTGGGGATTTTATTCTGGGATTGGATACATATTCATATAGGGAAGGCACTGTGGGGGCCATACAGTAAGATGTATATTACTGTCTAGTGACTTACATCTGTAATTCCAGGACTTGATAGGCTGAGGCAGGGGATTGCTGCAAAATCAAGGCCAGCCTTGGCTACATTGTAAGTTCTGGGTCAGCTGGGACTACAGTGTGATTTATCCCCTCCACCTCGCCCCAAGTACATTACTGAGCATGCTCAGTTTAAGGTCATAGTTCAAGAAGGAGTACAGATACATCCTGGGCATGCTTACCTCAAGGTTATGGAGCATATCGGGGCCAGTGAGGTCACTCAGTGGGTAAAGGCACTTGCCACAAGCATGATGGCCTGACTTCAATCCTTAGGCCCCACATATTGATGGAAGGAAGAGCTGATGCCTGCAAGTTGTCCTCTGACCTCCATGCACACTGGCACACAAATGCCAAAATAAATGTAATTTAAATAAATTGACAGATGAGAACACTTATGGGCATATTCAGCAAATGTCATAAAAAGATAGTGGACAGTGGGCCAGGGAGGCACCTTAGTGGTTAAGAGTGCTTGCTGTGTAGGCATGAGGATCTGAGTTCAAATCCTCAATCTCATGTAAAAAGCAATATATGACTGTGGGTATCTGTAACCCCCAGCCTTCGGGGGAGGGGCAGAGATAACTGGATCCCAGACCTCATTGGTCAGCCAGTCTGGCTGAAGCAGAGAGCTTCGGGATCAGTGAGAGACCCTGTCTTAAAGGGATAAGGTAAAGAGTGATATAGGAGGACACTTGATGTCCTTCTCTGGCCTTCACATGAACACACATGGGCAAGCACACACCCACACACCTACATGCAAGCACTACACACACACACACACACACACACACACACACGCACGCACACGCATGTGCGCAGACGCACCCCCCCCAACAAAACCCCAAAAGATGGTAGGGAGGAATTTTTCTGAACATGTTTCTTTTTCCCAGAATGCTTTAGCTAAAACCAAAGGGAAGGAGGTGTGAAGATGTGCACACAGGCGTCTGGCCCTAAGACATGTGCCCCACCTTGCTGCTAACTCACACTTTCTAAAATAATCACTGCATGCTCCTATGAATACACTTTGAATTCTTTCTTTCCTTTTTAATAACCAATGTTTGCTTTATAGTTTATATAATAGCCCAACCCAACTTGATTTTTCCTCTTCTGACTGCTCTCTTTCAGTCTCCATGGCAACAGAGGTAGTCTGTCCCAACACTTGATGCAGTTTGAATCTCATATGATTCTCATAGAAACTCAAACAGCCCAGCTGCCAGCATCTGCCTGGGGCTTTCTGTTCCATTGTACCCCTGTATGTCTGTACTGGGGCTCTGCTCTGGTCCTGTCCCCCATGAAGATTCCCTAGGCTGGGAAGGCCAAACAGGCACCACGTGATGTGCCAACTCTGAATGCACGTTTGGAGTCCAAGGTTGAGAGTTGTGAGGCTTGCTGTGCCTGGGTTCCATTACTAAGAACTATGGTGATTAATAATGTCTGCTGTGGCAGCCACTGGGATATTCAGAGGAGTAACTGCATTCCAGTCATGGGCTCAGGGGATAAGATCTGCGATTCATCCTTAGGTGGCTG